CAGCAGCTATCTATCTATCTATCAAGCAAGCCAGATAGCTAGGCTTCTGTAGCTCGGTCGCTCACTAGCAATTCGTGTTGTGCTTTGATTTGATTTGCGTTGCGGAAACAGAAACAACCCACGGGGTTGTGTTGCCTCTTCGTTTGTGCCGTGGCTGAGTTTCGCTGCGTGGGAAGGATGTGAACCTTTGAACTGCGATGAGACGGATTGGATGCGATGGATTGGATTGGATGCGATGCGATGCGATGCGATCCATCCTTGCAAAATAGTTGCCGGACGGTTCTGTATCCGCGGAACAACACAGTGACACGAAACTTGCCGCCGCAACGGACGGAAGGATCAAAAATTCGGTCGTGTTGGGTTGTGTCCTGTCGTGTCGTGTGGGACGCGAAGGAAGCAAACCATAGTACGTACCGTACCTATGGTATCGCATGGTACATGGTACGAGTCCCATACCGACTAGGAGGGTACGAAGCGTACGAGGACTCACTCGATGATCGATCGAGTCGTTTTGTGGTCCGTGATCCGTTTAGGGCTCAAAACGTACTTCGAAATACGTACATAATAGTACCGTACTGTATTTGCAGTAGAAATATCTGTCCTTTGTCCATTCAGTCCCATCAGTCTAGCTAGTCCTTCACAAAACTTCGAACTGTCTGTCGTTCATCCGTTTCTCCTACTAATTAATTCCCCATCATATTTGATTCATCTCAACGTATTTGTCGTTGCGGTACTAGTAATAAGGTACTCGTACGGTATGCTATGATGTCGTGCCAGGCACACAGGGAATCAACTGCTCCATGCAGCCATGCTCCAATCACACACGGGCCTCCACCGGGAACTTTCCTCTGTCGTGTGCCTTGCCCTTGGTAGATAATATTACTAGTATTGCAGTACGCAAGTAAGAGTACGAGTACGTACCGTACTTGTTATTTGGATACTCTCTACGAACTCACTTCGTGATGTAAGCGAATTACGAGGAGAACTCTTGTCACAGGTATCAGGCCACGCGTACACTCCGGGTTCAGTGCCAGAAATTCAATGAACAAAGATCTCTGACACCATGCCCTCCGACACGATGCTATCTGGCAAGTTCTTGATCCATCGAATTCTTTCATGCATTTATCATGATATCCTCAACTAAAAGAGATTAATATCTTGTTTTCAATCGACATTCTACAAAATCGTAAGAGCCAAAGATAATTGATTATTTCCAAATTATCTCTTTCTAACTTGTTTACCATACTCGTGATTAAGCCTCAAATCCAGAACCATTTTTTGTGAGAAACGAAGTCGTTGGATTGCGCTCCAAGTATTAGTATTCTTTGTTCCGTTTAACATTCACCATAGATATCCAACCACTTAACACTCTACAAGATTTTTTAAATAAGGAAAGACAAAGATTTTTTTTCCATTCTCGCGGATCTTTCGTGAGAAAAGAAGTCGTTGGATTGCGCTGTAATTGTTAGTATTCTTTGTTCCGTTTAAGATTCTCGACACCCTTTCACCACGGATAGACTATCACTTAACACTCTACAAGATTGTTTAAAAACGGCAAGACAAAGATTTTTTTCTTCATATCGTTTCCAAACTTATGCCGTTCGTCCAGAATCGTCACACGTTCTTGGTGGTGTCAATGGAGCAAGGAAGCGAGAAGTCTCCATTTCTCGAATACATTTTGGCGTCACTTCAGATCCAAAGCAATCTTTTCATAATTTTGGTTTCAACCTATCCACAGTCTAAAACTACGCCATGTTCATTTCTTCTTCTAAAGCTCTCAAGGCGCTTCTCGCCGTTGCGTCCGTTCTTGCTTTCTCTTCCTCATCGAACGCGGAGGAAACCCCCAGCAGGAAATTGAAGAAAGGCAAAAAACCAAAGAGCAAGACAATTGCCTTTGATTCCGTGCGAACCATGAGGCAGGATACCATCGCTGTCGGTAACGAGCACAGGACTATTAGTTTGACCGATCCTACTGCTGGCACACCTTCAATGATTGGTGCTACTGCTGTCATGCACTACTTTCTTTTCGAACCAAACACCATCACCGAGGCCAATGTCGCCAGCAAAATGTCTGACAAAAGCAGCAGCGTGGGCTATTCTTCGGTTGTCTGTACGATCACACTTGCCAACCAAGGTACTTTCAACCCAGAACGAGGTACTTGTACGCTATCGTTCGAATTCCAGTACGAGGGGGTCGACTCATCCCTCGTTGGGATTTATTCCGGCGATATCCTGCAGCAAACAAAAGCTGGACACGAGGGTGTCATCGTAGGTGGAACCGGAAAGTTGCACAAAATCAAAGGAGGACACGTCAAATACGATAGAACGGTCTTTGACGCGGTGGGAGACGACGTATTTGTTCTTGAAAAAATGGAACTGCACCCCAAGAAGTAAGTTTTGTCTGGAAGTATGATGCACGAAAATGTTTTATCCGAAACTGCATGGATCCGATCCGATAATGTCATGGAAACACAGAAAAAAATGAGGAGATTCCGTCCGTTCTATATCAGTGAAATTAAAGTATTTAAAGTAATAATTTACGTAGTTGTGTTCAAATGGAGTTTAGCTTCGATGATACGAAGTGGCTATTTCTAGGAAACGAGAACTCTACCGTACGTACGTTCACCACATTATTATTGCCAGCTGTCATTTTCGAAGAACCGAGTTCTCTGCGGAAGATACAGTATGGAAAACAAGACCGCCAAACGTGCACATAACATACAATTCGAAAAATTCGGTATGATACTTGTACCTATTCCATATCCGTGGGGGTTACCATACGTTGTACTCGTGTGCAGATTAAAAATGTGGACACTGAACCGGTACATGTGAGACAGTACACATTCACGAGTAGATAGTGAATGACGGGCGCTACTATAGACCCCTGAGCGGTTTCGGCCCACGATTTTTCTACTGGAGAGCGAAATTGTGGCTGGTTTTTGATGGTCCCCACACAAACACTCACAAAATTGTTAGGGTCATTTTTACAGTTAAAAAATGTTTCAAATTATTTAATTATTGCTGGTCCCTAAATATTTCTATTACTGGTCCTTACTACTGGAGAGGTAAATTCATCGGTTACTACTACTTGAGAATTACTATTGGGGCTTACTACTGGAAAACCTCTATTGATACTTACTACTGGGAATGTTATAGTAATGGGCACTGCAAACTGCCGTGTTGGGGTTTTTTGTTGGTGCTGCTCCTCCCTTCTCGCAGCACAAACAAACAATCAAGCATGTGCAATACCTATTGTTATTGTCCCAGTCCTTTTTGAAAAAAAACATTCCAGCTACTAGTACGAGTACTCATGCAACATCAAAAGAGATCGCATCGATTATCTTCATTCAATGCTAAAAATTTCATACATGGTTACACGGAAGAAGAAAAGTAACTGACAGGAGTAATATTTTCTATGACGTTCCCGCACAGGTGATGTACTACAGATCTCCCAAAAGACTGATCCTGGTCCTCGCTGAGCAGCTGCTGGGCCTGCCGGTGTGTCACCAGCACCAGCAGGCTGGCACAAATTCTACTCAGGCCTATGGTAAGAAACTAACCATGGCTTTGACTAAGAAAACAAAATTCTTACAAATGCACAACCCCAACCCCATCCCACCAGTTGTGCAACCAAAATAGTTTCGCTTGCACGTGCGCTAAAGCCCTAATAGTACACAAACACATTAATCCCACAAGTCATTACACGGTCAAAATATAGCCCGGGGTCTTGGTCCTGGAATCTATTGGGCGGTCTAGACGATGAACGATTTGCCAGGGAAGGAAAAAGGTGTGTGTGTTAGGCTCATAAATTCCAAACCCAATTACCCACCCTTCGCATTCCATCAGATCCCGCAACGCCTACGCCGTACACCCTCCACCACGAAACAAGCAACCACAGCATCATGTTGCTCCTCTCATCTGCCCGAAAGTCCTTCATCCTTTCTGCCCTTGCAATCGCTCTTCTCGTTGCGTTCCCTTCCCCATTGCACGCAAAGGGTGTCACGAGAAAACTGGGCAAGAATGGAACAAAGACAGGTTCAGGAGGCCCTAACACGGGTGAGAAGAAGGAGGAAGAAAAACCAGTGCCCAAATTCCCCTACCCCAAACGTTATTAAATCAAAGAAATTTTGCGTCACCCTCGCGATCGCTCTTCTCGTCGCGTTCGGATGGTGCCAAGAGAAATGCAACGGATACGTATGAATAYGTACGTACTGTATTGAAAGGGTACGTACGTACTGGAAAGGAAACATACGTACGATACGAGGCTCCCTCTGAATGAATGAATGGATATACCATTCCTACCTACATATCATAATATACTATTCATATATACAGATCATACGATCCTTCGGTTGAGGACCATAAGAGGTCTAAGATACTATTCGAGAATACCTCACGAAGAATAGAGATGTCACGAGTCCTGAACAGAGAACCTCCATGTAGAATTCCTACCAGGTCTACATGAGGTTCCAATCGGAACTTCAGAATTCTCGTGAACGCGCTTGGTCATTCTAAT